GCCTGGAAAACTCTATATACCTCAGGCTTGACTCAAACTCATGCTCTTCTTGCAGCAGCCTGAGTTCCCAAATGTTGGAATGCCATCAAATTCAGTGTCAGGGCAGCTAGTGATTTATTGATTGAGTGACTTATTCATTTTTGGTTCTTTAGCTGGTTGATTTCTGGCATTTATTCCTAGACGTACCCAAACTGATCAGAAGTTAACTCTTTCTCTTCCATCACAAGTTTCTTCTCTGCAAATCTTGTTTCTATTTGTCAAGAAATTCGTTATCAGAATCAGATGCGACCTAATCACTGGCTTGTCTCCCTGAAACCTTCACTAAAATCATCTCCCCTTTAGATGATTAGAATTAGATTGGTGACTAGAGGCACAATTATTTCATGGAATGTATGTTGCTCTTCAGGTTTGGTTTACAGTGATTTCCTTTAATACGTTTAGCAAAGCCCACAAGGAACTAACTGTAATGGAGTTTGGCTGCTGACTGAATCACTGCCATTTGTTCCCTAACACTCAGCTGGTGCAGATCTGAAAGAATAAAGGTTATTAAGTAACGTTATGGAGAATCATTTTTAATTCAAATTGATTTTTAATTGCTCCAAAAGATTTTATATCATGGGCTGGAGAGAGAGCTCAGTTAGCCAAGTTCTTGGTAAACAAACAAGGGAAACTGAGTCCAGTCCCCAGCATGGTGTTAAGAGCTGGGCATGGCGACACACACTTGTAGTCTCAGAACTGGGGAAGCGGAGAGTGGGTCCCCGCAGCTTGCTGGGAAGTAGCCTGCTTAATCATTGAGTCCCAAGTTCCCAGTGGAGATCTTGTCTCAAAAGACAAAAGAATGGCTGCTAAGAAACAGTACCCATGGTTGACCTCTACTCCACACACACATGCACACACAACCTACCCACACATGCATGCACACCAACTGTATATTAATAGTACACTTTAAATAACTATACTAGGTATATTAAATATAATTGAAGTCAGTAAGCATATAGGTTGTGTAATGTTTGAATCAAACTAAACATGTCTAACTCCCCAAACAGCATTTTCAAATTCGTTCTCGTAGTTTCTAAAAATATGCAATTTCTAACTTATGCCTACAGTCAAACTACTGTGTGGTAAAGGCTGGGACCTCTTGCTCCTACCTAACTACAATTTGGTTCTTATTAAGCAACCTTTCTTCATCTCCCCCTACTTTCTTCTTTTCCTGGCCCCTGGTGTCGGCCATTCTATTTTCAACCTATATGAGTTCAATTTTTTTCAATCTCATGTGAGACCCTGAGGCTGTCACTATCTAGGCATTGTCTCTCTGACATTTATCCTGTCACACTGTTCTGCTGTCACCAATGACAGGATTCATCCTTTTTCAACAGAATACTTTCCAGTGTACATATGTGCCCACTTTCTTTATTCATGAAATGGATGATAGACACTTTGCTATCCCTTGGCTATGATAAACAAGGCTGCAATAAACATGGGAGCACAGATGTGGTTTCACCACAGTGGTTTTCATCTTTTAGAGAGATCCCCAGCATCGGTACAGCCGCATCATCTGGTAGTCCTCTTTGAAGTTTTTGAGGAACCTCCACACGGTCTCCCCTAACGGCTGCTCTAATTTCCATGACAAGCATCTGTGTGAGTCACTGCACCAGAAAGTGTTTCACCTAACCTGTAACTTCCTTTGTGTCTTATTCTGACATAACTCAGCCCTGAAAATGCCTTCACAATTCACTGTGCTTTCTCAGGACTTGCACTGGCTTTCCCAACCCTCTGGGAACTCCATAAAAGTTGTTAGTATTCCCCCATAAACATCGATGTTTGTCTCATAGCCAATCTGTGGGGCCCTGCAGTCCAACCTCTGGCTGGGAGTCGATGCTCCAGTGTTGACTCTGACTCCCCTCAGAGTGACCTTTTGCCTTTGGTGTTCTAATGCTAAAGATGGCCAGGATCCTGACATCCCCTGTGCAGGACCACAGAGGGCATGAAGCCAGCTGATAAACTGAGAGTTCAGAACTTCCTGGAGCACATCAAGTGCTTAATACATGCCAATTGCTACTTTGGAGAAAGTTGCACAGATAACATAAGAGCTGCAGGCTTCAGGGTCCCACTGCCAATCCCTTCCGTCTCTGCCCCACTAGGAACTGACTGGCTGGAGGAAGGAGACCATGCCTTGGATACAGAACATGGCGTAGCACAGAACTGGACATGGAAAATACAGAAGTCACTGGAACTGGCTGTAACATCAGACATCAGATACAAGTGCACACACACACACACACACACACACACACACACACACACACACACACACTAGGAAGCTGGGAGCTCTCAGCTCCTGTGAAGATGGGAGTGATTTACCCATGAGCCTGCTGACAGTGTGCAGCAAACTGGCGGTATGCATGTTTCAATTAAAAATAACAGGGGGAGCACTCACCAGCATTCTGGGGGAGCACTCACCAGTGTTCTGGGGGAATACTCAGCAGCGTTCTGCTCTCTCTAAAATGAAGTCACCATGTTGTAAAGTCTTCCCTGATAACTCCACGTACATTCACAACTGGATCCTGGAACTAAAGTCAGGCAAAGGGAATGTGTATCTCCTACCAACCTTACTCCCTCAAGATGTTTTCACTGTGCTCCTCACCTCACACACTCACAAGTCAGTAACTGACTCTTCAAACGTCTGGCTTTTCCATCTTGAGTGTAAACTGTTAACATGCATTGGGTTTTTTTTTCTTCTGTTTTCAAAGCTATGTCCCTGAAACTTACAATGGTAGGTGCATAATAAGCCCTCAGTGAATGAAAGAATAAGTACAGGAATAGTGTGTGTGTGTGTGTGTGTGTGTGTGTGTGTGTGTGTGTGTGTGTGTATCCTGCCACTGAACAACTTCAAATCATAGATGAGTGTGTCCTTGAATGGACATGGAAGAGTCCAAGGGGACCCATACCACATAGAGTTAACAGAACTTCTTCAGATGCACGCAGATCAAGGTGCATCTAGCTGGTCTCTTCTGGCTACAAACCAGCAAAGCAGCTTCCACTTGCACAGAACCTCTAGAGGCAGACTCTGTTTTCAGGCAGAGTGCAATGGATAGTGATCGAAAGGAAGCTGTCTGTGACCTAATCACTCCTGGGACCTTCACTTAAATTTCAGACTGCATCAGGTCTATTCATGTGACAAAGCTGACTTGCACTTTATTTATTACAGGTAAGTCAACTTCTGATCCCTCTTCAAGTGACCAAGATACAGACGAAAACTGAGTCATTTCAAGAATATGAGAGGAAACATTATTGTAGATGTAACCAACCATCTTATTAAATAAGAAACACAAAGCCAATGTAAAGATAAAAGCCCAAGAGGTCAGAGGTAATACTGCTTCAGTAATACTCTTCAGCCAAGAGAGAACTGCTTCCTGTGTGTTTGTCTTTATATAGACTTTCTGTTCTGCCTTCTCATTGGTTGTAAACCCAACCACATGACCACCTTGTCACTGCCTGTCTGTATAGACCTCCAGGTCTTCTATGGTTGGTATTGAGATTAAAGGCATGTGTCTCCATGCTGGCTGTATCCTTGAACACACAGAGATCTGCCTAGCTCTGCCTACCAAGTGCTGGGATTAAAGGTGTGCACCACGAACGCCCAGCTCCGCTATGGCTTACTATTAGCTCTGACCCCCAGACAACTTTATTTATTAACATACAAATAAAATCATAATTCAATACAAATAAAATATCACCATACATTATAATTTAGTTTGGTAATCTTTTGGCTTTTTCTTGGCATAGCAGAAATAAAATGAGTGATGTTTATAAAATGTCTCCTATAACATAAAACACCAAGATTGAATATTTGCTCAAATACACAAGCAAGAAATTAAATTTGGATTTCAAATAGTTAACCTAAGCATTTTAGATTGAAGTGTTACAGCTTAATCATGAAGCTCTTGGGATGTTTCTTGTTATTGCTTTTGTTTTTAACTTTAACCATGTGGGGCATTCACCCACCAACCTCACAGTTCCCCAGAGTTTTCTTGAGTGTGAGCAGCAGGAAATATTAGATAGAAGGATTTATATTGTGGAGATAAACAGATAGAAAATAAAGGATAGCCTCGAGAGGGCCCGGAACCTTTTCCAGCGGGCCCCAACTGTCTCTGCCCCAGGATATTTATAGAGATGCCAAGAGGTGGAGCAAAAGACTGCCTCCCCCAGCACAGCCAAGTGCAGACCATCTCAGACACCTGCACTCAGGCCTGTGGTCCTAATCATCCTCCATATGTGGACCTGCTGGGTAAAGCCACGAGGAACCTGAAAACGGGCTCCCATACAACCAGTGATTAGATTCTGTTTTTGACACCTACAAAAGGAAAAAGGTAGTTCACACAAAAATGAGAAAAGTGAAATGTTAGGTGGGGGAGGACACTTCCTGTAGAACACAAGGACAGTGACATTTTCCCTGAGATCACTAGCATTGTGATGTGTGCGCCAAGCTTAATAGAGAAATCAGATAGTGACAAACATCTACATCAGGATTTCGGGATGCTTTAAACAGAGTACTTCTAAACACTGACCCACATACTAAAGACATTTTTTAAAAAATGATAAAAATCTGCACGAGTCCAAGACATGATGACATTTTGGGACAATGGCAAGGTGACAAGCTGGGGCACTGCATGCTACCATGGAAGGTTGATCTGTGGAGCAGGAACTCCCAAAGGTGCCCATGGAGCGTTCAAACAGACACTTCAACATCATGTCTATTATCAGTGTCCCTTCAGTCATTCAGTTTGAGAAACTATTGCCATAACCATCAACTGTTAACTACTTACCTACAAACAGAATGGGGAAATTCACCCACAAAAATGTTCTTGTAACTACAGCAAAGACTCTGAGGTTGTAGCATGTTTTCTAGTAATTCATCTCCAGTGTTTCAGAGATAACTCTTTATGACCAAAGAGAGGAAAGGTAGAAATAAAAGTAACTGAGATCAACTCTGCTCTGCATGAGTTTTAGTTGATATTTTATTTTTATCCAAAAACACATTAATTGTATGTTATTTCTACCGTCATCATTTTGGCTTTTGAATACAAAGGGTGCATATGCTTGGAGATTTGGCACTTAGGTAAGTTTGCCAGAACCTGCTTGCCTGTATTCAATCACCTGAAATGAAATTGAATTGTCCAGTGGCAGTCAGATAGGGCTAATCTCTTTCAGTCTTCCATGGGGGAACACTCTATCCCAAATCATAGATGCTTACTAATATTTGAATTATAAACCATCACCCATTCTCAGAACAGATTATTTCTTGAGTATCACTGACTAAAGGACGTGCAGAAGAAGACTCACTCCATTATACTAACTGTGTAATAAGACAAGCAAGTGTCATCTGGGGAGAATTGTAAAGTCAGCTCTCAACATAAAGCAGTAGGAGCATAAATACAATGAAAGTCTCAAAAAAACTAGAACAAAGGGACACATTAACACATTTTTCAGTGACTATATTCAAAACTAGGCTGGGAAGCCACTTGGCAAGTACCTAAGTGAACTTGGTATATACAACGGCTCAGTGTCAGGAAAAAGTCTGTCTCCTGAGAGACTGAATTGTGTGGCTATTAAAATTATTCTAACTTAGTTTGAGTGGACTATTTTCTCTCAACATATTTGTGAAGTAAAACAGCAGAATTGGGGAAACTGAGTCTAAAGTGCCCTTCCTATGAAACACTATCGACTCTACCTCTAGGCCCCCGATGGTCGCTCAGTCTCCCTGATGCGGCCTCTCTCTGACTTTCCCGTCTGACTTTCTGATCAGAGTCACTTGGGGCTCATGTCCTCACCATTGGAGTGGAGGGAAAGTAGTTGATTGCCATGTGGCCTATTTCTCCTTTTAAGAGATTAAAAGTCAAACCTACAGCATAATTACCTATTTAAAGAAAAACCAGGTCTGTTTCAAAGATATCCAGACAATCTGATATCATTTGAGAGATTCTAAACCTGTACCTGATCATGCCTAAAACAAAATGGAACAGAAACAGCTCTATAAATACTAGAACTAGGAAACAGAATTTATCCTAGGAATCTAACAGTTAAAGAATGAGTACTTGGAAAAGGTAAAGGGCTTTAGCTTACTCAACAGCTAACAAAGAGCTACAATACAGGTCATAACCTCCATTCTAATACCTTCTACTGGATACAAAATTGCTATCCATAACACAACACTCAGGAAAAAATGCATGGATAAGGTACATAATCTATAATTATGTATTCATTATGAAAAGAGACATGAGATAAGAACTGAGAGCTCTGTTCCTTGTCTTTTTAATTTTATTTGTGTCTGGGTGTTTTGCCTATCTTCATATCACCTGCATGCCTGGTTCCCGATATGGATAGAAGAGAGTATTAGATCCCCTAGAACTGGAGTTACAGACATATGAACCACCATGTGTGTGCTGAAAGTCCAACCCAGGTCCTCTGGAAGAGCAGCAGTGCTCTAACTGCTGAGCCATCTCTCCAGTCCCAGCAAATCTGTTTTTCCGCTTTATTCTGTTTTGTCTTTGTTTTGGTTTTGGTATAGCCTACTCCGGCTTGCCTTGACTCTAGACCCAGCTGCCTCAGCCTCCTAAATGCTGGAATGTATGCAGACGTGGACTCCCACACTGACTTATAATAAGACACTTAGATACAGACATAGCAAGCAAAGTCCCAAATGTAGATGAGTTCAGAGAGTGATGATGAAAAGAAAGGGGATCATGGGACGGAAGCCTGAGGAATTTCCACATCAGTGACTGCAGCGGGGGCTCCCGGGGGGCTCTGGGAGGAGAGACCCCGAGGGAGGAGAGAACTGAGGAGTCCTGATGCTGCTGAGCACAGGAAACAGGGTTTCAATAAAGAGGAAGCAGTCTGGAGCATCAGAACTGGCTGGAAGGTCCAGAAAAAAGAACCGAAAAGTACCCACCAAAGTGCATCACAGATTAGATTCAGTAACTCTTTTTTTTCAGGATCTACCCTCCTGAAAGAGACTAACATGGAGTGAAAGGTTAATGTCAAAGTGTTCTGTGCTTCTAGATGAAAAATGAATTAATAATAATCATTAAATATCTAAATATTCAAGCTTCAGGAGTATTTTAATAGCATTTTATCATAGCAATACTAAAATCCTATCTTTGAAAATCATTTAATGTATATGAAATAAAGATAAATACACTAATACATTAATCAAATCTCTTACAGTTATATTTTGATTTTTCATTTTCTCCCTTACACTCTCTGTGCTCTCTAAGTTTCTCTATAATGAGCAGGCCTAATTTTACATTCAAGGGGGAAAATTAATTATACCGTTTATTTTCTTTCAAAGAGTGGTTAGAAGATACATTCTTGCTGTCCAGACACACTAGGCTTTCATTATGTTCCTTCTGGCAAGATAAAAACAGAAGTCGAAAGCATCCCTGCAAATTTATACAGATCTGTTGAGCACATGGTGATCTTTAAAGTAGTTGAAGTATTTCAGATGCCAAAGTAAGTTAAAGATGGAAAAAATACCCCATGTTCTAAACTCCATTGCTACCCTGTTTCTGTTTTGTGGTGCAGCAAACATGAAAACTCCTGATGTATGGTATACTATAGAAAAGTCGTGTTTCCAGATAAAGCAAAAGTACAACAGAGATCAGGGGGAGGAGCCATGAGACGTGATTGACAGGAACTGGAAGAGGTTTTTTAAGCATAAGGAATTTCAGAATAAAAAAACAAGACACAAGAGACCAGGTGTTTTTATGTAACAAATGAGCTATAATGAAACCACAGTATCCCGTGATGCGAAAGCCATCGAGTCCCTCAGATTCATGCCGGAGAGTCTCAAATTGTCAAAAAAGCAAATGGCCACTGCAGTCTGACGTCAGAATAACTTCCCCATTCCATTTTGCCTGGAAATTGAGAAGACAACAAATGACTTCAGGACCGAATGAGCCTTGTGAATGTGAAATGTCACCATCTGTGCTTTTCTATTTTTGTTCAAGAGAAGGCATCCAGGGATGCAGCTGTTAGTAGTCACCCTAAATTAGTGTGGATGACCAAAGAACGGAAGTGATCATCTGGCTCAAGGACTGAGTCTACAACAAGAGCAGAGTTATGAGTCAGTTGCCCCAGCTGGGAAGCCCTGCTGACCACCTACCCAATAACAAATGTTTCCCTCACTCCTTTGAAGCCTTTGAGAAATCATCGACTCAAAACATCTTTATAATTGATATACATTAGCATGCCATAAGACAGCAGAGTCCAAGCATTATAATGAAAGGATGGTCATGGCCCAAAATGGAAGTGTGCGCTTCATGGGTCTATTTGAAATGCATTGGCATTTTGTATCCTCTAGAAAGCCAGGAAAGGCCTAGCTGCCTGTGCACCAAATGCACTTAAGGCATCGCTAAGCTTATGCTTTACATAAGGAGCACTGTTTTATAGTCTATGACTACATAGACTGTAAAAGACAAAGTTATGATTGTTTTCCTTCCACACAGAACATTGTCTATGAAACAATGGGGAAAGAAAAAATGTAAGAATGAGAGTGAGATCTTTTTGCAAATGGTCAAGGCTCACCATTTTCAACCATCAGAACCTAACTAAACGTGTCTTCTTTTTCACGTGTCCCAGAGGCTATCCTGGAATCTTGGCGTAATCAGTTGTCCTCATGGAGATTCCACACATTGAAATACTATGTTCGTTGGTTTGACCTGTTCAGCACACATCTCAGAGATCTGCTAATGTACCAGCTAATGTTATAGGCTCTGGAGATACCACAATGAAGAAGAAGACAGACAAAGCTTCCATATCGCTTTAGTGAGGAGGACAGTTCTTAATTGAATAAGAAACTGGCTTTATGTAATTATATGCACTCTGAAGAAAATAAGGTAGGAAAAGAGTTGGGATTGTCTGAAAGGACAAGAAAGCTGTGTGCTGTCCGCAGGTTAGGATGTGTATACTAACAAATAAGCCCAGAGTCAGAATGCTATAGCTTTTCCTCATGGAACTTTGCCATCCTGGTTCAGGGCAGAGCTGTCCCAGGTGCCCTTTCAGGGATTCAGGATGGCAGAAGCTTCTCAGTTTAACATCACCAAACACAAAGGTTTCAGTAAGGCCATGTGACAAATTATGCAACAGCTTTTAAAGACTTCCACTTTGCCACATTGTCAAGTCGATGGTGGCATATGTTGAGACCAAAGCAAGTCAAATGACCATAACTAGTTCCAAAGAGGAAGGGAGTCATCTTCTGCAGGCTGACGGGAGGCAAATGGAACAGTGGTTATCACCTGTGCTGTAGATAGCCTCTTCTGGGAATGAGTGATCCCAAAAGGAAGGTCTGAATGATGAGGAGCCAGCCATAAGCTGATCAGCCAAGAGCAAACTTGGTGTGCTGCAGGCGTGGAAACAAGACTTCAGAGGCTGAGCAGGGAGCCAGTGCAGGCTGGAGGCCTGGGAGATGCTGTGGTTGGGATACACAATTAATTAGAAACCGTTCTAAATATTGTAGAATTCCAGGTACTATAATACATATTTTGTATTAGAAATACATCCATAATTTGAAAATAGTAAAACTAAAAAGGGGTCAATTTAATTTTTTAACATACATAAGAATACAGACAATTACATGCTTATTTATGCTTTTTATATTGCATTGATACTCTTTCCTCTGAATTCACCTAAGTCAGAATGCTATGGAATAATAATGTTCACTATTCCACAAAACACTGGAAATTTTCTCAAGGTATTATTTATAAATGTGTGTAAAGATTTTGAAATATGCTAATTTGTTGCTATGTGCTTCATAAGATATTATAAACTGAGGCAAGCAAGGTCTCTCAGACATAAGAATTCTTGCTGCTCTTCCAAAGGACCCAAATTCGGTTCCCAGCACCCACACTGGAAAGCTCAAACCACTATGACTCTGGCTCTAGGAGATTCAACACCCTTTTCTGGCCTCTGCAGGTACCTGCACTCACATGCCATACCCCAACAAAGACACACACACAAGTACACCTAATTAAAAATAAATACTTGTAAAAAGATGGAATTCACTAGATGCCCTTAAATTACATTAAGGTGCTTAATCACATGGAATTTTTTTATATTTCAAAATAACTCTTCTGCATAGTTTTGGAACTAGTATAAAAGAACAATATTTCATTTTAGAAGAAAGTATTCTATCTGTAATTTGAAATTCTTGTGTGATCCTGGAGCTATATCTAAGGCCATAAAAACATGCTGAGCCTTGGCGTCAATATCTGTCCATTCCAGAATTTGTCCTAAGAAAATGACTAGCAATATTTGGGTGTTAAACTACTAGGTTGTTCATCAAAGTCCTGGTGGTTTAAAAAAGAACCTTAATGTTATGGCATCTATGAAATTAGACTGTATGAACTCACAAAGGAGAATTCCGTGTAGAGTTGAGGATGCTGGTGCAGAAGCATGCAGACTAACAACATGGAAAGATAACTGGAGAGTGGACCAACCAATGTCACACAGCAGTAAGTCACAAGGGCTAGCTCTGAGTTGTGGAATTTTGCATGTTTTATGTTCTTTTTATTGAATTTCCTGTTTTTGTTTTTTTTTTTTTTTTTTTTTTTTTTTGTCAAGAACATTTCTTTCTCTCATTTAAAAAGCATCTGGTGCTGCACATCCTAATGCTAGCACTTGGGATAGAGAAGTAAGAGTGTCGTAAGTTCAAGGTAATCTGAACTATGTAACAATACCCTGTCTCAAAAATTAATATGGCTGGCAAGATGTCTCAGCAGGTAAATCTGTGTTCTGCTGAGCATAATGACCTGAGTTTTCTTCCCAGGACACATATGTTGGAAACATAGAACCAACTCCCACACGTTGGCCTCTGCCTGTATGACATGGGATGTATGTGTGTGCTGTGTACACATAAACACACACACACCCCAAGAAAATAAATGAATATTTTTTTAAAAAAATTGTTAAAGAAAAAGAAAAATTAAATTAAAAATCAAAATATTATGGTACAATTTTGTAATAACAATTTCACATATGGAAAGTTTTATCTGTATAAATTTATAGCTCTAAAAACCACATACTACAAACACCATATCTACACATATGTGTGAAAATACACAAAAAACATTCCCAAATGATTGTGGTAACTAGTACTAGAAAATATGTTTATGTTTATTTTTATATCTTTAAATTTTTCTATAATTAGTCATATTGTTTCATAATAAGAATTTTTGTTAAAGAAAATAGATCCTATCCCTCCACTACTCCCAGTTTCTGCTATAACTTCCCATCAAAACTCTGTATACAATGTGAGATCCAGGAAAGGCACAAAGCTACACAGAGAAACCCTGTCTCAAAAAACAAACAAACAAAAAAAAAAAGACTTACACTACAATAAAATTCTCACAATTTATTGTGTTATTAGACTCTATGTGGAGAACTGAATGTAATCAATGCTGTGCTGGCTTATTTTATGTCAGCTTGACACAAACTAGAGTCATCAAAGAGGAGGAACTCAACTGAGAACAAGCCTCCTTAAGGTCAGGCTGTAGACAAGATTATGGGGCATTTTTGAATTAGTGATTGATGAGGGAGGGCCAGCCCACTGTGGGAGGTGCGTCCCTGGGCTGGTTGGCCAGGGTTCTCTAAGAAATCAGGTTGAGCAAGCCATGAAGAGCAAGCTAGCAAGCAGCACCCCTCCATGACCTTTGCACCAGACCCTGGCTCTAAGTTCCAGCTCTGTCTGAGTTCCTTCCCTGACTTCCTCCAGTGATGAGCCATGATGTAGAAAAACATAAGCCAAATAAACCCTTTCCTCCCCAAGTTGCTTTGGTCTTGGTGTTTTATCACAGCACTAGTAACCCTAAGACAAATGCCACAATCCGGGCGAACTTTAGATTATCTATGATCATGTATTTCTTACAAATCTACTATGTGAGATTTGTGTTTGATATTTTAATATCCATTTTGTTAGAAAAATGGATTATTTGTTAACCTATTCAAGAAAACTGGCAAGTGATTGAATCAAACATGAACTTGGGGTCTAAGGTGTAGTACAGTGCTACTCTATCTGTCTACTTATCACAAAGCCATGATTCCTTCCCCAGGACAAGGGAAAGTTGTTAGACATCAAAGCTTTGCCACTGATCACTACATAACACCTCTACCCTTCTTCCTTAGCATAACTCATGTGACATCAATCTGAAGCAAATCAGAAAGGCTGTGGGTGTCTACTCCAGAGGGTAGAGGAAGACTTACCATTCAGAGCTGAGCTACATTTCCAGAGCAAGAACCACAGCATGTTTGCCAATCATGGACACAACATATTACGATAGTAAGGAAGACTGGATGGGCATAAAACAAGACCATGAGGGCCTGAGAAAATTAGTCAGGAGCTCAGGGTGAAATCTGCTGTAGTGATTAAAACCCGATTGAGATCACAACATCCAGATGCTGTCACTGGTAGGTGCTATTACCAGACCTTTGTCAGTTGTAGAGGAGAAGCCAACGGTTACTTTCGCAGGGCAGAGACAGAAGCGCGCTGCTCTTCCTGGTCCCAGGTAAAGCCACAGAACACAGAGAGCTAAGGACCCTTGTACCTACATGTCCGCTAACCTCTTCCTTGGGTCATTTTAAAGGGCTGGCGGGTGCCATTTGTGAGCTTGGAGCTTTATTCTATTACATTGTAGTTAATCAGCTATTACGGTGAAGAGTGGGCCCATGGTTATTGTCATTTATTGAAGTTGTCGCTTTGGACATCCAAGGGCCCCTGGCATACTTTCCTAGAGCACAGACAAGACAAGGCTCATTGTATGCTCTCTGTGCTTCTTACCCACGATTGTATGTAGATTCCATGGAGTAGTTCCACTGTTACATGTCCTTCAGAAAAAAATAAATAAAAGCCATTCTGTGATGGCTATTCTTGGTTGTCAACTTGAGTACATCTGGAATTGACTAAAACTCAAGTGGCTAAGTATACTTCTGAGGGATTTTTCCTAATTAAATCATTTGAAGTGGGAAGATACACCTTTAATCTGGGCCACAATTTCTGCTGGCAGCCTATACAAAAGGGACATGGAAAAGGGAAACTTGCTCTCTGCCTGCTTGCTCTCTCTCTCTCTCTCTCTCTCTCTCCCTCTCTCTCTCTCTCTCTCTCTCTCTCTCTCTCTCACACACACACACACACACACACACACACACACACACACTGGCAAGTCCATTCCTTCACTGGCATTAGAACCTACTTTTTCAGGATTCTAGAATATACTGAAGACCAGCTGATACATCCAGCCTCTTGGACTAAATAACTACTGGATTCTTGGACAATCCACTGACAGACAGCAGTGTTAGTTGTTGAACTAACTGGACCACAGACTGTAAGCCATTATAAAATATATAGAAAGAGAGAGAGAGAGAGAGAGAGAGAGAGAGAGAGAGAGAGAGAGAGAGAGATATTCATTCTACAAGTTCCGTTCCTTTACAGAACCCTGACTAATACACATGAACATTCAGTCAAGTGAAGAAATATTTTTATCATGTTGTAAGAAAGGAAATGATTCAGCAAAGCTATCATCCATGTAAGTTATTTTTCTAGATCAACCACCAACTAATTTCAAAGCCTATTAGCCTATCAGGCAGATAAAACTATATAGAAAACCCATAGGACTTTAAAATATTCTAACTCTAATAATTTAAAGTAGAGAGAAAATTTGGGCCATGTATGACTTGCTCTGAAATTCATAGGTGTTCTGAGGAGAGCTCCCAGCTAAGAAGAGGTTTCTGAAGCTGGAGAGGGGTCAGCAGCTAAAAGCAGTTTTTGTTCTTCCAGAGGACACGGATGGATTCCCAACACCTATGTGAGTGACTCACAACTGTCCGTAAGTCCAGTTTTAGGGGACTCAACACTCTCTTCTGGCTTTTGCAGGCACCAGCCATGCATATGATATGCAAATATGCATGCAGACAAAATACCCATACTATAAAATAAAGGGGTTTTGTTTGTTTGTTTGTTTGTTTGTTTGTTTGTTTGTTTGAGACAGGGTTTTTCTGCAGAGCTTTGGAGCCTTTCTTGGAACTCACTCTGTAGCCCAGCCTGGCCTCGGACTCACAGAGATCCGCCTGCCTCTGCCTCCTGAGAGCTGGGATTAAAGGCGTGTGTCATACCTCATAGCAAAATAAAGTTTTTGAAAAAATTATAGAGGAGGTTTCTGGAGCTAGAAAGTGGATATAATCAGATGCTGTTCTGACAGAGAACCCATATGGCAGCTCACATCTGCCTGTAACTTCTGTTCAAGAAGATCCAACACCATCATCTGGCCTCTGTGGGCACCAGGCATGTATATAGTGCATGTGCATACATACATGCAGACACTTGTATACATAAAAAAAATAATAAGTCTTAAAGAAGTGTTTCTACAGAACACCAATCATTCTAAAAACAAGGAGCGCAGTTCCATATTCACACATCAG